CATTTTTGTTAAATTTATTATTAGCGCAAGTACGGAAAGATAAAAACATTGCTGTGGCCGTAGCTTCCTCCGGTATAGCCGCCACGCTGCTAAGCGGGGGCCGCACTGCACATTCTGTTTTAAAACTCCCTCTAAATCTAGCCCAGGAAGATGCGCCGATCTGCAACTTTAGCAAAAATAGTGCACGAGGTATAAAGCTACGACAATGCAAACTTTTAGTGTGGGACGAAAGTACAATGTCGCATAAAAAAGCTGTAGAAACACTAAATCGAACGCTCCAGGATTTGCGCAGCAATACCGATGTAATGGGAGGAATGGTGGTTTTACTGGCTGGTGACTTTCGCCAAACTTTACCTGTCATTCAAAAGAGCACACCTGCAGATGAAATTAAAGGATGCCTCAAGTCGTCTATTTTATCGAACAAGGTGACAAAATTCAGTTTAACTAACGAATATGAGAGAGCATTTGTATAATGATATCAATGCTGGAAACTATGCTGACACACTATTAAAAATTGGCGATGGATGGTTGGAAACGGATGCTGAGGGCTGCGTTAAATTGACGAGAGATTTTTTTAATTTAGTACAGAGTCATTCCGAATTAATTGCGAGCGTTTATTCAGATTAAACGAACAACATGCATGAAGACAATTGAACACTGTGTCACTCTCGTAACTCCCTAGATAAATTGGCAGCGACGGTCTACCTCAATTTCTTCGTCACCCATAAAATATACTTGTAAAAATTTATGCTGTTCGTTTTCAGCTGGAAAAAGTGAACCTATTCTATGATAAATTTGCCCTTGCACCGTAAATGTAGGCGAAAATCCCGGCATTATTATTTCCCGGTCAACTCCGAAGGACGTCATTTGAAAGCATGAGTTATATCTGGATCCTGTTTAAAAAGCGCCGTGACTCATTAGCATAATATAAAAAGAGAGTTTTCAAAGGTTCTTCTGGTTCCCCAAGTAATGGAAGAGACACTTTGCCATTGGAACAGCACATGCCTGCGGTCTCATGTTTTCATTTTAAAGCGCTGCAAAATCGACACGCCTTGTCCATCAGTCCGATAACAACTAACCTGTGATTTTTATAATCAATCAACGGATCATAATTGAATGCTGCGTCATTAAAAACCGACCCGTTGTTTCTTTGAAAATTTTGTCGACATTCAGCTTGGAGCTGTGCATTTGCATCTCTTCGCGCCTGTGTCTGTTCTGGTGTTTCAGATGCCCTTATAGTAGATTGACGTTCAGCCAGCTCAATCAGTCTTTGTTGAGTTTCATCAGGAGTTTCCGCGGCTCTTAAGGCGGCCTGACGTTCCGCTTGTTCGAATAGCCTTTGCTGACTTTAAGCAGGTGTTTCAGTAGCTCTTAAAGTAGATTGACGCTCTGCACGTTCAAGACGCCTTAGATGACTTTGATCAGTTGTTTCAGTATCTCTTAAAGTAGCTTGATGCTCTGCCTGTTCAAGACGCCTTCGCTGACTTTGAGAAGGTTGTTTCAGAAGCTCTTAAAGTAGCTTGACGCTTTGCTTGTTCAAGACGCCTTTCCTGACTTTGAGAAGGTGTTTCGGAAGCTCTTAAAGCAGCCTGACGCTCTGTCTGTTCAAGACGCCTTTGCTGACGTTGAGAAGATATCTCAGATGCTCTAAAAGCAGCCTGACGCTCTGCTTGTTCTTGCCTTCTAAGTTCAGCATCTTCTAAAAATTCTAGCGATCGAGCTAATCTTTTCGCTTGTCTTTGAGAAGATACTCTTGAAAGGCTGGACTTACGTTTGCGAGGCATTATGAAGTAACAAAAGAACCTATTTATAAAAAACGTTAAAATACCTAAAAGGAATTAAATTTCCTTTTAAATATTTTTTTTCAAAGCAAATCCAAAATATCTAAAAGGAATAAATATTCCTTTTAAATCTTTTATAAAATCTAAACAACAAAACCAATTCAAGACACAACAAGAATCCGAAAACGATAGCCAAAAAAAATCGAATCAACTTAAACCAAATCACAAAACAAATCGCAGAAAACCGAAATCGAAAGCAGTAGTCAATATAAGCATAACCAACGAAAAAAGAAGTAAGTGTATAGGTACCGTATACACTATCTATACTATTAATATTCCTTTGAAATATTGTTAAACAACCTAAAACAACGAAAACCAATTCACGATTCTAAATAAACAAAATCCAAAATCAAAGCCAGAGTCTAAATATGTATAAAGTAATGCCAACCAAATCAACAAAACCGATCCAAGAAAATACACGAATCCGAAAATGAAAGCCAATATAAATCCATTCAACCTTAACGAAATCACAAAGCAAATAACAAACAACCGAAATCGAAAGCAGGTAGTCGAATAAGCTACGAAATAGAAACAATTTAAGCGTATAGGTACCGTATGCACTATAAGTTGACGCGCGGCTCAACGGCGGGAGTTAAGTACATGTCAGGAAACATTTCGTTACCTTTTTTAAAAACCTAGTGACGACATCTAGCGGAATCAATTTAAACTATGTATACGTTAGTTAATAAGAACTCTCAAAAATATTTTTCTTATAATTTTGCACAATTTTTCTTATTGTAATACCGATTCATTCATAACCACATATAAGAACTGTATTCATATCCGTTCAATAAATATTACTAAGGCTTATTAATAAGGCTTACTAAGAACTGTTTCTACCACAGTTAAGTAATAGTTAAGGGTGGAAGCGTGACAGGTGGTGATAGTATTTCTGATCCATACTTATAATCACGCCTGTAACCCTTGCGGGGTAGGCAGAGCATCAACGGATTACTTATAATCGCCTATCCTGTGATTTACAATGCACCAAAACGTTTGAAGAAAATCAGCTGGTGAATTTTATGTTTTTTATCGCTCTCTTCCCGGTCCTGCGTGGAAAAATACAGATCTATACATTTTTTATCTTAATTTTGGTAAAAAGACATAATAATCCAGATATTCTGACCTTCTGTGTTCGTCCATCGTACCGTCGTTCGTCTTGTAGAATCACGGTGAGCGACCTAGCTGAGTTTAATTTTTGTAACATATTCGATTTTCCCACGGGAGTGAGATGTTTTTCCGCGGAAAAAAGTAGCCTATGTCACTCTACAGCCACCGAACTATCCCGATACCAAAATTCATGCCATGCCGACACTCTGTTGCGACGTGAAAGAAGGACAAACTTTTGCAACATATTCTATTTTCCCACGGGAATGAGATGTTTTTCCGCGGAAAAAAGTAACCTATGTCACTCTACAGCCACCGAACTATCCTCATACAAAAAATCTTGCCATGCCGACGCTCTGTTGCGACGTGAAAGAAGGACAAACAAACAAACAAATACACTTTCGCGTTTATAATATTAGTATGGATTTTTAATAGGACATGACAAAGGGTCGTCAAAAAGGGCAGAACAACGTCTGCCTGGTAAGCTAGTTTAACTATAAAGTGTCTGCCAACGGTCAGGTTTCCAACGTTTAAATCGTCAGATAAAGATGTATAACGTTCACTTTACATCTATACGGTATCTTAAGAAACTATGCTAGGTAGGTCTTTATGATACATAATCACAACCCTGAGAAGGAAAAAAGCAATAAACTAGCTCCCAAGTGTCGCGGTCCATCTTAAATAACATCTGTTTTAGAACAAGATAGATATGAAGTATCAAACATCAATCGCCACTCTCAAAAAAGGTATAAAAATATATATCCTATTCAATTTTCGTGCGCTAGCATGTGAGGATAGTGGTAGTAGTAGCGATGAGACAAAAATATTACTGAGTAGAGAGTTATAATGATAAACGTAGCTTAAGTTTAGCATGACGTTTTAAAAATATTTTTCCTTATCCTAAGTCTCGATCTTTATCGTAACAGATTAGGTAAGTAATTATAATGAATTGAAATTGTTGATGGGAATACCTGAATTAATTATAGATAGATTGACCAAAGAAGGCCACTAGCACTTCTCGGTCCCAATCAATGATTCGAAAGCAGCAAGCATCGATTCTTACTGTCAATAAGTCAACAGGCCCTGTCTAGATGGTGGAACACGAAAGTTGGCCATATCAATCTAACAAGAGGGCGGGTTTCGATGGGGCAAAAGGTAGTTGACAGTATCTGTTGAATAATAGGCCGTGTTCCCATGAAGGCAAATGGCGGTTGGCTGCACTGATTATAAAAGCAGACTGTGCCTCAAGCGTGATAAGATATAGATAGCTATATCAAACAACAGGCTGGGTCAACGGAGGCAAACGGTAATTGACGAGAATTAAATCAATGGACCTTGACTTACAGTTATCTTTAAAGTGATTAAACTATAATTAAGTGAAACAACCATTGTAATGATATTTAATTAGCTACAATAATGAATTCATGAATAATTTTGATGAGTACCTATCTAAAGGGGAATTTTCGTGAATATTTATATATACAAAAGAATAGACAATTAAGTAGATTTTTTTCTGTGTTGTTAGTAACAAACACCAACAATGATTTTATTTCTTGCAATTTTATTGTTTATAATTTTAAAATTATCCATTTTTTATATTACATTAAGATTGCGTATGAGGTCATTAGGGTTACCTTATAACCTACCTTATATCTTTTTACAATATCAAGATCAGGTTATTAAGACCAACAACTATCGGGGAACGTCGCTATCCAGGTAAATAACTTAGGCATTTCATCTCCGGTTGTTTTAACTCTGAGTACTTGGACAGAAACAATTTAGTAGCCAGGATTCTACACCAGAAGCTCGCTCTGAAATACGGTATTGTGGATTGAAAACTGCCTTATTATATAAAACAAAACAAAACTGCTACGTCGGTGCAGTCAGTCAGCGCCTTGTCAAGAGGTGTGAGCGCCGTGCCTCGGCAGAACTGAAGAGCCAATGGCCCGTTTGTACTTCCGGCCGTGCAATAAAACCTGTCGGGCCTGGGCCTCCTGTTAATTGACGCCCATAAATGGATTATGAATAATAAAACAGAGGGGGATCGCCTACGTGCATCTAGAGCTGTGTCTGGATGCGAAAGCATGCGGGCCGCCAGTCGAGCACGAGGTCCTGCATGATAACCTAGCAGCCCCTCGCATCCATCATCCCCACCAGATAGTTCGATGTCGGCAGGGTCCTCTCGAACTCGGCAAGCATCCGCCGCTGGTGGAGTACGGCGCATGCGTTGGACAAATAATATGAACGCAAACGAATTGCCGGTGTACTGTAGGGCGAAATTGGAAGAAACTGCAGGAATAGCGTATCGTGCTCGGATGCATTGCTTTTTTGGTGAGTTGGAGCCATCTATTTCCATCTCAGAAGCCAGCTGGGACTTTTGCTAGACGAACTCAGTTCATTTTCTGGATAGAATTTGTTCAACTAGAATCGTCTCTTACAAAATGATTATTTTAAATCATTGGAGCTACCAATGGCGTATGAGACGGGTCCAACATCGGATCAGGCCGACAGTATGCCATTCTGGCGTGGCCTGTGGTCTAAGACCGTAAGCCACAGCGAGGGCCCTTGGATGGAAGTTAGGGCGATCCAGGCTGCGAGTATTACGCCCATAGACCCCGTCATCATAACGCCGGAAGACGTAGTTGAGGCGGTCCGTAGGCTTGTTTTACTGTGGCCATATAAATTAGACCGATACCCTAGAGTACAGCACACGGAACACGTGACCGGGCGCGGCGAGAGCGCGTATTGAGGTGCGCTGGACAAACATTATTATACGCGAGGTGCGTAGGTATACGAGTAATTCAAAATACGCGCTAGCTTGTCCACAGGAATCACAGATCGCGGCAGCACGCGTCTGGTTACCGTGCGTGAGAAAGGGATGAAGCTATATTCGAAAACTCCCTCGTCGATCTCTCTCCACGACAGTGTTTTATTTTAAGCCTTAATATCATAAAAAACCTGTTTATTTCAAATTGTCCTGATCAGTTTTTGATATTAGATTACTCATAAACACAATATTTGCAACTAGCTATAATTTTACAACAACATGTTGATCACGTATTGTGCCGATTAAGCTTTTGATATTGGATGGATAGTCGGCTCGACCGAGCAAGGACCACGCTTTCACGGAATACCAGCGTAGAGTAGTAGCTTAATGCTGCTGTGTTTCGTTTGTTGAGTGTAGAGAGCCGGAGACCCTTTTTACTAGAAACGAGGCATTCCATTTTAGTCCTTACTGGAGACAACGCATCTGCATTTTGATTTGTACTTGAGGATAGATGTAGATGTCTTTAGGCCGCAGCAACCACTTACCATCAGGTGGACTGTGTGCTAATTTGTCACCCTATCCTAATATATCAAACTTGGATGATTTACAAGAAATCTTAGAAAAGGAATATCAGTACTCTCTAATGCTAAAAAGAAAGACGATGAAACAGTTATCGCTTTAAATGAAGTTGGTAGAGGTATCAGTGGCTCAACTCAAGGCATAGGAGTACTTGAAGTGCGTATGTCATACGTTTCTCAAGTTAAATCGGATACTGTACATACTGTGGACTCACTGCTCAGCACGGGCCTGATTTACCCACAGGCTAACTAGGCTGGAACCTAGGGCGCAAGATTCAAGGAACTTTAATAGCTATACTCCCGATTTTTTTATAGTAGAAGGGTTACAAACGAGCACAGTCCACCTGATCTTAAAGTGAATGCTGCGGCCCACAGACATCTACATTTTTCTCAATTAAGAATCAAAATTCAGATATGTTGTCACCCTTGAAGACTGAAATGGAATCCCTCATTTCCAGTAAAAAGGGTCTTCGGTTCTCTACTTTCACCTTTATTTATCATTACGTTCACCTATATTTTATAATTTATCATCGATAAATCGACGAAATCGACCTTTGGCAATGTGACTGTCAAAATTCGAACTTTTTTATGAAAACCATATTATTGATTCTGATGTCGGTGTTCAAAAGGGTGACCCACCTGGTCCAGCTCTTTTGAGTGTAGGAATTCAACCCATTATTTCGAATTTGAGATCCAAGCTGAATGTCTGGTACCTGGGCAACGGCACACTGGGAGGTAAAGCAGATAACGTCCTCAATGATCTTAGTCATATTTTTTTGTCTTGAACTTGTGGCCGTGGAAGGAAAAGGGGAGATCTCCCGCCGGGCAAGATGTTCTGCCCGGGGAGCGGCCAACGCTCCGTGTGATAGTTCTGAGATGTTCTATATATACTGTTTATGATTCGGAATTTTAATAGCGTGATTTATTATTTATTTTGACAGGGCCGCCACAAACTAAATAATAAGGAACCAAAATGTGAAATATTTATTTCCAGTAATTTATCTAATTCTAACAAAGATGCGTTAATTCAAAATTTCAATAATATTTCTCCAGGAATTAAAACTATTATTAGTAGCTAGGTACCCAGTTGTTTTCCGATTGTACTAAACCTGTTTAAAAACAATATTTGATCAGTTTTTAAACCACGTTGATAAATTAATACCAACGTGAAGTGGAAGCTCAGTTTCCGCGTTTCGTCTTGTGAGTGCAGGTGGCCGGAGGCCCAATCTCCCTCCCCCTAACATGGTAGCGGAATTAAGTAAAGAACTACATCAGGAGGGTACCAGCACCCGTGGAGAATTCCTCGCTGAGCATCCACGACCAAATTACTCCACTCCTGAGGGTGGGTACTCAGGCTGCCCAAGACAACAACTGCTTGAGGCAAGCTGAGCAACAAGAACAAGGCGCCCCTGCCACGCTATCCGTAAATTTCTGCAATATCAGGGGACTTCACTCTAACCTAAACGCTGTCCACTACTATCTCGAGACGGCGAGGCCGGCTCTGCTTTTTTTGACCGAGACGCAGGTGTCCTCTCCGGATGATGCTTCGTATCTCTCCTACCCGGAGTACAAACTGGAACACCTTAAAAACCTGGACCGTGTGATCATGAAGATCCAAAGTGGAGTGCCAATCTCGAGTTGAGTCCAATTAAATGTACACTATTCAAACAGTAAGTTGACTTTTTGGGGTATGTAGTGTCGGAACAAGGTATCCGCACCATATATAGGATTCATAGAAAATAGCCGCCGTCAAGGATTGGCCTGTTCCAAAAGACAAGACGCAAGTTAGAGCATTTTTGAGTTTATACTCCTATTATCGGCGATTTTTGAAAAACTTACTATAGCCAAACCTCTGCAACCTCTGCAACAAGCTAACCAAGGAGAAGGAACATTTTTGCTGGGATGTAAGTTGAGATATCTCATTCCAGTAGCTAAAGGACCGCCTGTGCAAAACACCTATTTAGGGGTACCCTAATGAGGGCAAGGAATTTGTAGTTGACACAGATGCAAGTGATATAGGACTTGGCGGTGTGTTATCTCAACGGGATGGTGATCAAAAGTTGTGGTAGTGAACTTCAGCAAGTCATTGTCGAAGCTGGAAAGGAACTATTGTGTCACAAGACGGGAATTGCCTGTTGTGGGCGCCTAGTGTGGGGCGGCAATTTCACTTACGAAATGACCATGCTGCTCTGAAATGGCTATACAAGTACAAAAATCCAGAAAGACAAATTGCGAGATGAAATGAGGTACTGTAAGAATACGACTATGTGATCAAACATCGCAGCGGGAACTCTCATGGCAACGCAGATGTATTGTCAAGAAGACCTTGTCCTGAAGATTGCAAGCATTGTACTCGGCGAGAGGATGAGGAAGTGGTAAAAACTCTTCAAACATAAATTAATTTTACTTATTCTTATGTTATTTATGAATCAAAATCAATAATAATTCGTTCACGGTATAGTAGCGGCGGAAGATAATCCACTACCCAATGTGTGGGTGTCTTAATAGCGAAATTAGAAAAAGAACGTACAGAGTACACTGAAAATTTAACGAACATGAAAATAAAAATACACGATCTACAAGTTAAATCCCGCACGCCATCAATAGAATTTAGAAATATCCCTATGCAAGAAAGGGAGACGACCGATGACCTGATCTCCATAGTAAGCAGCGTAGGTAATGCTCTGCATATTCCCATCAAATACGATGAAGTGCGGGATGTTTACCGCACACCGGGTGAACCTGGAACGAATAAAACCATCGTGGCCGAATTTTGTCAGCGGCTAGAAACTTAAATAAAAAAGCCGACAGAAGAAAAACTTAACTCCGAAACTATTGGTTTATCCGGTAAGCGCAAACCAATAATGTATCAGAATATTTACCTCCAAGCTTCAAAAACCTATTCCGTATAGCAATAATGTATGCCAAAGAAAACAAATACATATATTGGTGGACGACTAATGGCCAAGTTTTTATGCAAAAATTGACGTGACAGGTCTATTCGAATTTATTCTGATAAATTCTTTCTCTCTAAAGCAACTGAAATGGAGAATTTTGAGAAATGTAGTCAGCAGAATTAAATTAGGTATGTATAAAGTTAGAAAATGCCTTCCAAAATATGTTTTGTCACTCGTTTTTTAAAGTAAGTTTAATAGTTTGTATGGGAAATCTTGTAAGTTAATTTTAAGAACAATTTTTATGATTTTGATTTACTTCAATACTATACTCACACTCACCTGGGCATCCTCATTTTACTCATCTAAAAATCATCGTGCAAAAACTATTCAAACACATAAACTCAATTATAATCTTACTCATACTCACAAAAATTAAATCAATAGCTACTTTACTTGCATTCCATAACAATATAAACCAAGTACGTAAAACGTACGTAAACGTACGTTTTACGTACTTGGTTTATATTGTTATATTGTTGCACTTCTACGTACGTACGTACGTATAAGTGCCAATCTATTAACTTGTCTCTGCAGTAATTCATGTAAATGAAAATATCTCAACAGAGTTAGATAATATAGATGTCGCATTGGCTTATTAGTGTGACACTAAAACACGTAACTCGCTCATTAAAAATAAGTCTACTTCCCTGAAAATATTCGCAGTATGTACAAAAACTCAGATAGCCAGATCATTCATGGCCAATATATGTAGATGTCCATGGGCCGCAGCAACCACTTACTATCAGGTGGACAGTGTGCTCGTTTGTCATCCTATCCTATAAAAAATACGCACAAATGTCTCAATCAAAACGACGTTATCGTGATACGTGTTGTAACAGGTATTATATGTACAATAAAATAACCAGAGCCATTACATGCTAATTCCATGTCTTTTAAAACTATCGACCCCGACATTTTTACTTTAGCTACTTACAGCACCCTTAACTCGCTGTATTGACAGTTTTTTGATTTCTATAGAAAATATGGTTCATCCACTGGACTCAACTAAAAACTTGTTACTAATTGGCGATATTAATACTTAAACCTAACAGTGGAGCTAGGTTTGCTTCCAGGTCACACTTATCCCATTAGGTTACACAACTGTCTAGATCATGTCATGCTGAAAACTAGTTTGGCAGCATCAGTGTCATCAACGCACGCACGCACGCACGCACGCACGCACGCACGCACGCACGCACGCACGCACACACACATACACCTTAATACCTAATTTACATAAAATAATTAACTGTCACTTATTTTAGAGATGATACTAATCCTCGTAACATAGGTTTTGTAACCTAGCTCGGGAGTCAGGGGCTTCGAAAAATATTGTAACAACTATTATGTCAATAAAGATCCAGTCAGTCCAGTAGCTACAAATGCAGCGATATTACGTTAGCCTGACTTACACCTTTTTTGGAGTTGGATAGATTTTAGATAGATA